TCCCGAGTGGAACTGCATCCTGCCCCAGCACATGGTCGGAGCCTGGGTGAGGTGTTGGACAGTCTGCAGGGATGCAGCCACATTAAGGAAGCTCAGGTGTGAAGCTGCACATAAAAGCAGAGCCACGTGGATTGATTTAAGCAATACACAGCCCAGGCACGTAGATAACCGCACGTTGTCCTCTGTGCCCATCACACAGCGTTAGCACCGTCAGGCTTTGAGTGTTTGTCACCCCAGATAAGGCTGAAACCCCCGGGATTAGTTTGCAAACGCTGTTTTTTTTACACTTCTGCAGCTCCAGTGTGACGGTGTGAGGTCATGAGCAGCCTCACACCTCTGTCCCCGGGTGGGATTTACACCCAGCAGGTGATGTGCTGAGCTGACGTTAACCCGGCAAAGCCTTTCCCTGTTGTGTGATCCGGCAGTTTTGTGGAGCACCGGGGATGTGCAGCGGTACCGGCTGTCACCGGGGATGAAGCAGAGCAGATGTCCCACCAGGATGGGATCCTTCCAGCACAGCCAGCCCTGGGAAAGGCAGCCAGTTAAAATAACAGTTTATGTCTTGCGGGGTGGTGGAAGGATCCCAGAGCAGCCCTGCCTGGGTTCCTGCTTTATGTCATGGGACAGGGGCTGCTCTCCCAGTTGGGGATATTTTAGGGTTTTTCTTACTCTTTTCACTGCTTTCTTGGGCCCTTTTTCCTGCCTGTTGGCAAAGTCTGGAAATTGGATGAGTCCCTTGGTTTGCCCATCCATTTCTACCTCCATGCATAAGGAAAAAGACATTCAAGGCAGAAAAAAAAAAAAAAAAGAGTTTACAAGGTAGAAATATGGCTTGAAAGAAGTTATTTGGAGCAGAGAGCTCATCCCAGACATGATGCTCATCATTATCCCCCATGCTGGGCACCGTGCCGTTACCCTTCCTGCATCACAGAAATGTTTCCCATAAGGGAAACCTGATTTTATCCTGGGGAAACTCCTGAAATGCTGCGGAAAACAATGTTTCAGTGTTCACGTTGCACGATGTGTGCTGTTGTGGGTCCTGCATCAGGTCTGAGTGTGTACCAGGGTTTGCCTTTATTGTCCTGTGCAGGGACAGGAGTTGGACTTGATGATCCTTGTGGGTCCCTCCCAACTTATATTCTATGAGTCTATGTGCTGGTCTGGGAGAAAGTGTCACCTTGTGCCTCAGTTTCCCCAAAAGCAGAGTGGGATGTGATACCTCGAAGCACGACAGAGAAATGGCAGCTGCTGTAGGGCTGTGCTGCTCTGGGGACTTTTAATCCTGTTAGAGCAGGAGAAACTCAAACATTTCCTCAAAGCAACCCCAGCGCCACCCTGCTGTATTTTATTTGTTTGCTTTGGTCCAGAAAGCGGGGCAGGGTCTCCGTGGGGACCCGAAGGCTCTCATAGAGTCCCAGGGTGGCTGCCTGCCCTCGTGCCACCTCACTCGTGGGTGGCAACCCCTGTTTATTTACCTTTTCATCACCTGATGACCATGCCCTGCCATGGTGCAGGCGCCAGCCCGTGGGCTGCCAGCCCTGTTTGAGTTGGCAGGAGCTGGAGATGAACCTCCAGCTAAAATAGCCCCACGTCAGCCTGGGGTGGCCGGGCTCATTGCGTGCCCTTAAAGCAGCTTGTGTTGATATTTTGCTGCTCAGCTTGGGCCACGGTCACTGTGTGATGTGATGGGACAGCAAGGAAAGGAGTTGTGATGTGAGAAGCTCAGGGCAAGCTGCAGATCCTCAGCAGTCCCTGGAGCTTGACCATGCTTTGTGTCCCTGCAAGGCAAAGCCCTGTGGGTCGGTGGTTAGAGCTGCCTGCACCTCTCTGCTTGATAACCCCAAGGAGAGCATCTCTTCTGCTGGTGGGCATGGTCCTGGGACATGCAGGCACACATTGCCCTGTGTTGGTGTCTACTTTCTTGGCTCTGCTCTCCAAAGCCGTGATGCAGAGAAATTGTGGATACGTGTCTGCAAGCTGCAGGTCCTGCACCAGGACTGCTCAGCTCGGGAAGCTGAAGGTTTATGGTGTGAGTAGGTGGCCCCATTTTGGGATACTTTGAGCAACTGTCATCACTTTCTACCCTTGGGGGTGTCAATGCATTCGTCTTCTGGCCATATGAGCAGGATCCCAGTGCTGAGTTTTTGGCCACTGACTGAAGAAAGGAGCTATTCAGGAGTTTCCATTCCAGTCTGTCTGCACTCATCGTGTTGTCCCAAGGGAATTGCAGATTTGGGAATTTGCTGGTTTCCTTCCTGTGACGGGTTTTCCAAGTGGGTGGGATATGGCAGTGCCACAGCTCAGCACCAGCTCTGCTGCCCTGCCTGGTGCTACAGGGCTGACTTACATAAAAACTTGTTTTTTGGCGAGTAGAAAACTCTCTTATTTCTAGTGAGACTTTAGAAGTGAGAGGGAGAGGCTTCAGCCCCAACCATTCCTGTTCTCTGGTGGGTTTTGATAAATTCAGACCTAAAAATGTGAGTTTATTGTGATATTCTGCCCTTTTTCTCTGGACATTTGGTGCAAAACGGGTGCTGAGCTGCCATGTGAAGGGCAGTGGAAGGAGTCGCTGATGGAGAGGTGGTGCCTGATTCTCAATATACTCGGAACTGGGGTTTTTGGGGAGCTGCTTGCAGCAGCATTGCTTATGTTTGAGGTTTGGTGACAGCGATGGCATTCTGTCACTGCCACAGGCAATATTTCTCCTGGCTGCCCTGGTGCACGTGTTTCCTCCTGAGTTCACAGAAACCCCTTTTCATACTTTAATCAAGAGCTCATGCAAAGTCCTTGCTCTGCAAATGGCATCGCTGCTGCTCTTCATGCAAACGCCGTGTGGGACAAGCACTAAGAGGACCGTGGCATTCCAGGGGCTGCTCGGGCTGGAAAGTCACCCCTGGGCACCCCGCTATAGCCAAGACCTGCGGGAACCCCAGCCACCTACCTTGGGGCACCCCACCTGCCCCCAAACCTCTCACCTTACACTTTCACACCCTTAAAATAGAGCCTGGATGGAAATAGCAGCAGCAGATCTCTTCTACGTTTAATTTGGGTGGCTCTCCGGGCCAGGCAGAGGAAGCCGGGGGTGGAGAGGAGCTGGCTGCAAAAGGGAGAAGAGCTGCTTTCCTTCTGACATGCCCTGCAGAGTGATTCGAAATGTTGAAGCCACTCCAAGATTATTTTTTTTTATTTATTTTTTAATGGCTATAAGAATAATTATAGGCGTTAAGTACTGGTCTGTCTGCTCCTTGCGATGGCGGGAGCTCGGAGCAGCCTTATCTAGGAGGGACATGGGTGTAAAACTACTCCTAGTCCGTGTCTCTGAGGAGCTGATGCAATTTGAAGCGTAACACGTTCGAGCTTCTTGTTTTCACTGGTTTGTTCAGTGAAGGTGGGTTTGTTTTTTTTTTTTCTTTTCTCTGAATGAAAATAGATGATGGAAAACAGCCGAGCCAGTTTCACTTCCTGCTCTCCCTCAGGGCTCTGTGCTGGGGGTGCTCGGGGACACCTTGTGTTTGGTCCAGTGATGGGACATTGAGCATGTCCGTTGTGGGCTAAGTCTTCTTGAACTTCAGCTGGTCCCTTATTCCCTCCCAGAAACACGAGATGTTAGAGGAACATCTTGTTTTATTATCACCCCATGGGTTGCAGAAGTAGGTGGCAGAGAGCAGGGGCTTTGGGACGGCTATTTGGAAGGTTTGACGGCTCTTCGGGAGGTTTCTGTCAGAGTTTTTCCCCATTAGGAGGTTTGAGGTTGGGGGTTTTCTGTCCAGTCCCCTCTTGCCTTGGAGCACTGAAGGCTGGAGGCAGCAGGTACCCTGCCCTGGTACTGTGTCACCTCGGTGCTGGTGCCCCACTGTCCCTTTGCAGCACTGTGTGATGTCTTTGAGCCACCAGCACAACCCTCCTGAGGGTTTGCTGATTCATCACTCCAGCTTTACTTTCTCCATCTCCAGCAAGCTCTGCTGAGCTCAGCAAATTTAGGATTTCCTTTTCCATGAGACATCTGCAGTGCCTGTATCTCCCCACCTTGGGGCATTGGCAGAGGTTTTGGTCTGACTGCCAGCTCCCCTGGGAGCTGCTCTGCAGGCAACAGAAGGATTCACCCTGAATATGGGAAGAGTGGGTGCAAATGGAGACACCCACCCATGCCACCACCCATCAGCAACCAAAACCAGGGTGTAGGGATCACTCCTAAGCCCTCCCTGGCTGCAGAACCTTGCAGTCCTCAACCAAACCTCGTCCTTGGCCAACCCTTGTCCGCAGCAGGGCCAGCACATCCATTCTGCATGGGTGAGGAAGCAGGAGCGATGCTCTTGATGGGTGCTGGGGTTTGGGCATTGCCCAGCAGCCATGGGAGCCATGGGCACATGTGATGTGTGAAGGTAACAGCCATTCCATGGGGATGTGGGAGTCTCGGAGACTGTGATGGGTGCTCAGGAGCTCTTGGGTTTTTTCCTGGGCTTGGGTTTGGCTGGAAGCGGTGTGGATGGAGGCTCTGCACCTCCCGGGGTGGATCTGGGAGGACAGCTTGGACCAGCTGAACATCAGCTTTGGATTTCTTTCCTAGAACACTGCAGGCTGTGAAGTACAACCAATTAATAGGAAATGTGGTCTGAAGGTTACAGTCCCCAGTAGGTCCATGTTGGGTTTCTGGCAGGGATAGTTGGACCTCAATGTCCTGGATTTGGAGAGGGCAGCTCCTGAGGATGCTCAGCCCTTCGGCGGGTGGGTATTTTTCAGGTAGGCTGAGTGCAGGAATAAATGCTGCCAGAGTGGCTTGCAGCAGGGAAATGACGTTTCCCTGGTGTGGAGAAGGTCCAGTGCTGCTTACGTGGTGACAGTCTGTGAAGTTTGAGAACAAGCTGTCTTGATGTGGGAATACATGGAGAAGAAGTTCAATTTTGGAGTACTGAATGGACTGCTGGGGTATCAGGGAAGGGATTGCTGCTCTGGGCCCAAATCACTAATTCATCTTTTTAATTTTATCATTTTTTACTTTGTTACGCTTGCTGGGCTGGCGATGGAAACCCACAGAGCTCCCTGCAGAAGAAGGTAAGTCATGGGCTGGAGGCAAGGGTGGGTGCATGCCTTGAGTCTGGGTGGGAGGGTGCTGGAGATGAGCTGGGGGGAGACTTTGGAGTCTTTTAACCTTGGTTTTCATCCCAGAGAAAGCTGGGCTGACAGCAGAGCTTTCCTGTGATGCCAAGGCTACCAGCTATGAATAGAAACACAGAGCTTTTGGTTTCTGTAGTTAAAGCAGACAGAGAAATCAGGCCAATGCCAGAAATTAAGAGGTTTAATATTGGAGAGAAAAGTTCTCCATTGCAGTGCTGGATGTCCTCATGGCACTGGAGCAGCTCTGCTGCAAGCCGAGGATGGGGTCCTGTTGGTCTTACTGGCCTCAGTGGTCTAAATTACCTGTCTTCTGGGGTTTTTTTGAGCACTGACTGTGCTTTCCTTCATGTTTTCCCACCAGGAAAGTCCCTCTGGGAGTTGGTGCTGGAGCAGTTTGAAGATCTCCTTGTCCGCATCCTTTTGATAGCAGCTTTTCTGTCATTCGTAAGTACCTTGAGCTCGGGGGTAGGCACCTTCCAGGACACCTGGGTGGCAACTAATAGCAAAGGAGCCAGAGGAAGGTGCATGTTGGATGAAGGAGATGTAGCAGCAGTGCAGTGGTTCTCTAGGGTACAGTGACAATATCGTTGTATTCACTTAAAAGATAGGACTGTAGGATTTTTCAGTAATGCTGATCCATCCAAAAGTGATGTCCAACATCTACCTGGGCTTCTTTCCGTCTACCCAAGACTGTACCAGACAAAGGCAGAAAAGGACCATGGAAAGGTCACCTCAAGTTGATCTAGTTGAAGATGTCCCTGCTTGCTACAGGGGGCTTGGAGCAGATGACCTTGAAAGGTCCCTTCCAATCCAAACCAGTCTACGAAAGTTTCAGCCCTGAGCACGCTTTAGTGGGCTGCTGGGGTGGGGTGACCCTGGGCAAAGTCTGGGGTTCATGTTTGGAGAGAGCAAGTGCAAAGCCCCAGCGAGAGTGGGACTGTGAAGGGGCTGCCAAAGGAAGGTGAGGGTTGCCCAAAGCTTTCAGTCCTGGGCTGCTTTTTCCTGTGATCTGGAGTTTTTTGTCCCTAACTCTGATAGCACAGGTCCTTTGGACGTGTCCCTATCTCATTGCAAGATTTTTATCAACAAAGTTTCCTGTGTTTTTAGGTTGGAAGGTACCTTGTGATGATCTCTTTTAGCTTCCCTCTTAAATCCATTAGCTGTTTTCGCTTTATCATTTTTCATGCTCTCAGCTTTCCTGCCCCCTGTACGTGCAGACTGAGGTCTTCATGGAGTTAGGACCCAAACTGCCTATTTGCCCATCTCTTCTCTGATTTAATTCTTACTGATTGCTTTTCAATCCCATCTTCCATCCAGTAGAATACATCATGGGCCTCAATTTGTGTAGAAGGAGAATCAGCAAGGGAAAATGAACCCATTCTTTATTTTTTTCCTTGGGTATTTTTGTAAGTGTCAAGTGTCAGCATGACCAGATCCATGTTGGGATCCACCAAATGGAGGACACTGCCTCTGACACGTGAAGGTGTGTGTGTGTGTCCACGGTGCAGATAAGTTCCTGGTGTCATGGCCAAGCCACATGTTCTCAGAGTTGTGTGAGGTGCTGGGAGCTGGGGGATCCTGACCCCCCCTCCCTGCCTGTCTGGAGAGGCTGCTAGGACATCGCATGGCCAGAGTGCTGGGTGATGGGTGATGAGAGGTGAGGGCAGCACTTCAGGTGCCTGAAGCCAACTCAGAAACTCAACAACCCACCTTCCCCGTTGTTGGGGTGCAGGCAGGGGGGCAGGCACCTGCCTCAAGTGTGTGCATCCACGTGGGGAGGCAAAGCCAGGGCTGGGAGCGTTTCCAAACCCTGTGCAGCTGCCTTCCTCAGAGCGAAGTCTCCCTCCCGGAGCCCTTCTGCTCATTTTTCAATTAAAAATGAAAATCCAATCTGTTTAATTTTTTTAAACTTTAGTGTGGGAGGTGCCTCCTGCCTGCTCTTCGCTGCCTTCCCTTCCTGCCCGTGGGGCTGGGAGGATTCTGAGATCCCAGGCTGGTGATGGCCAAGCTGAAGATGCTCAGGGCAGGTACCCGGTATGGCTGGATGCAGTGCGGGGCGCGTAGCTTTCCTTTAAACCTTTGCTGATGTGGGGCAGGGTCATGCTCACTGACCAAATACACCTCCCAGTGCATCATGCAGCAGGAAAACGTTCAGGTGACATCAGAGAGCTGCTCAGGATTGAGTTCTCCTTGTGTTTAGCAGGGTGTGAAGCCCAGCCCAGGCTACTCCTACCACTGTAGCTGCTGGTGTGGTGCCTTCAGGGTGGTACCATCCAGCTTCTGCTTCCCCAGATGGTGTTACTGCTCATCTTCAAACATTTCCTTCCTCAGTAGCGTATCTCCAGTGGGGTTCTTCTCCCACCTTCACCAGGGGCTGCATCCCTATGTGCCTTTCTGATGATTCACCTCCAGCACGTCCTGGAGCGGCTTCTCCCCAGGTTGTGCAGGCAGTCAGCCGGCAGCGGGTGCATCTCCAGGCTTGGTGAGCCAGCACCTGCAAGCACTGCTGACCTCCTCCACGCTTAGTAATGCCGAGAGGTGACGTGGGATCAGCTAAAATCAATGTCCACGTGGTTAGCAAAGCTGCCTTTATGGGTGGCACTGTGTAATTGCAAGGTGAACCCCTTTGTACTCACACTCCATGGTGCCTTGGAAGTGCTCATCATCATCAGTGGTACCTTGCTCCCTGGTTGCTGATTCCAACCTTGTTTGCAGCGCCCAAGTGCTGAGCCTTTAGCTCAGTTTTGTCCACAATCTACCTTGGGAGCAACTCTGCATGAGCAGACATTTCCCACTGAGCTGCTGGAGAATTATTGATCTTTTGAGAACGCTCATGGTGTTTGGCAATTGGATGGCAAAGCCATCCCGTCCCCTCCTTTTGGGTACAACTCGTGGGCAGATAAGGAGGGAGGCTGGTCCCTTGTGAGGTTCAGTACATTCCCAAAACAACACGCAGTGACCCGTTTGTTGGTGAATTTGCAGAGCTGTTGCCATCTGCTTGATGGCCGAGTCTGCCACATTGGCTCTGCTAACTGGTAAAGCAGGGCTGGACCTGTCTTGGAGGTCCTTCATGCTGGTGCCTCTGCTGTAGAGCAGCGAGGTGTTGCTGTGTTGACACAGCACAGGTCAACAGGCAGCTAAATGGAGTGGAAGATATTTGTGTGCGCTTCATTTGTATTATGGTATGAGGTCTTTGTGGGATGGAGAGGAGGCCCAGGGTGGTAAGAAGCCACAAGGTCAGTCCCTGCTCTGCAGAACTGCTCTTACTGCATCACTCATCTTGTATCACTTAACTTCCGCCCAGGAGGGGTTTCTCGGAGGCTGACTGTGCTGCTGGCAGTGTCCATTTGAGCAGCAGTGCTGTCCGCTCTCCCCACTCATCTGCTCATGGCCATGGTCTCCCCATGGGTGTGCTAAACAAAACCAGATGTTTTCCTGGTGCAAATATTCATGTAGACTTTGCATGGCCATTTGCTCCAGTCCTGCTCATTTGATGCACTAGATTGTCCCCAGCAGAAGAGTGGAGGGATCTGAGTTAAGCACTGGCAGTGGGAATATGGCAAGTCCACACTTTAACCAGGCCATATGGTTGGTTTAACCAACACTCTGGGTTGTCTTCTCTCCAGAAAACACCTCGTGTTGGTTGGCTCTTGCTTCTGTCCTTCTTCTTAAAATATTGATGCTTGTTGTTTCAACCTCATTGTGGTCCTTCTCTTCTCTTGCCTACCAGATACTGGCCTGGTTTGAAGAAGGAGAGGAGACCACAACAGCATTTGTGGAGCCCATCGTCATTATCATGATCCTGATCGCCAACTCTGTGGTGGGTGTGTGGCAGGTAAGCCACAGCCCCCCTGCTTGCCCCACAGGTCTTAGCTCCACATGGCTGAGATGCTCCATTTGAAGGTCTGGTTGCTTCTTGCTGATGGAAACTTATTTCTCAAAGGTTCAGGTTTCGTGTTGGCCATGCTGCCCTGTTCCCCAGCACAGATGCTCAGTCATTGGCTGCCTCTTGGCTCGTTCCTTCAGTTTTCCTTTGGCAACTTTAGCAGTTTGGAGTTTAGGATCTTGTACTTATTTGCCATCCAGGCAAACGCTGCTTGTCTCCTGGCTGTGGCCAAATGCATTTTCCAAGGGAAGCTTTTTGCCTTGTCTACTAGAAAGCCATGGTGGCTTCTGCTCCTTGCTGTATCCCTCCTGGAGGATGAGCAGACATCTCAGCCAGTGATGCTCCTACTCTTGTATATATTCACTCTAAGGCCATTTATTATTCCGCAGCTTGACCTGAGGTGGGGTTGCTGGATGGGGAAAAATACATCTGGGTGGCATATGCTGCTTCTCAAACCACGAATGGGAAAATTAAGCCCAAAGGTCCATGTGGTGTCCAGGACCTGGTGTAATTTAAGCCAGTGGGGACCATTTCAAAGCAGCTGAAGAAGACACAACGCTTGCCCTATCTATGGTGTAAATGGGTGCCAAAGCCAGGACTGGGGTTTGGCCGCTCCTGTCTTCACAGCGGGTGGGGAAGGATCCTGCTGGCACGAGCAACCCCATGGCTGGCAGCTCTGCTCCTCCTCTGCTTGCAGGAGAGAAACGCCGAGAGCGCCATCGAAGCCTTGAAGGAGTACGAGCCCGAGATGGGGAAGGTGATCCGTGCCGACCGCAGCGGGGTGCAGCGGATCCGTGCCCGGGACATTGTCCCTGGGGACATCGTGGAGGTGGCAGGTAGGGTGCCATTACCCCAGGGCACAGGGTGAGATGGGGAGGTGGTGCTGGCCAAGGGGGGCTTTGGTGATGGGCACTCCATGGTCCTCATGGTGGGAGGGCTCTGCCATGGCATCCAGGTGCACCTCCAGCGGCACGGCCACTGGGTCACCTTGTTGTTGTACACTTGAGATCTTAGTTTCTCTTTTCAAATCCAGAGAGGTGAAATGATATTTTTGGGACAAGTTGGGTTTCACCAGCCTGCTGAGGCTTCGCCATGAGCATAGGGAGGTAGAGAACAGAAGGAAAGAAAAGGAAAAAAAAAAAAAGAGTCTATTTCTGGTGGAGGTTTTGTCTCAGGAGGGTTTCCCTGTTTTCTGGAAGAACTTTTAGTTTTCCACCAAGATTTCCTCTCTCTGGAAGTGGCTCTCCCACCAGCATGGGTGAGGGGCTGGTGCTGGTCCTGCTTGGGGGTTATATAATTGGGGAAGGTGAGAGGTAGAGGGGACCGACCACAGGGTGCTTTTGCCTCCATGGTTGAGTTGTTCCCCCAGCCCTTCTTTTGGAGTTTTGCATGCAGGGAAGGATGCTTGGGGGGTCTTCTGCCTGCCCCACCAGTGCTAGAGAAGATGCATTTCAATTATCCTGTTTTGTTTCTTCATTAAACGATGTTGTAAACCCCCAGAGCTGCAAAACTAATCCTCTCCTTTCCTCCTTGTGGCCCTGCTAGTGGAAACACGCTGCAATCCCTCCCGTGCCCTGCCAGCTCGCCGTTATTTATGTCTTCCAGTTGGGCTTCAGCTGGAAGATGAACATAAAAATAACGCAGGGAGGATCAAGTGGAGGAGCACCGGCCAGATCCTCAGCTGGGTGAGCTGGCAGTGCTCCCAAACCAGCTCCAGCAATGCACTCCAGCTGCTGACCTGGCCTTTGATTAAATTAATTAATTAATAATTAATTAAATTCTACCATCTTTCCTCAATTCAAGTGCTTGCTGCCTGCCCATGAGTGGCTGAATATTACTTTTTAATGGC